GTATTACCAGCTATGCATTTTGAGCTGCCTCGCAGCTTCTGAGACCTGGTTCCTTAACTGTGGTTTGGGTAGTAATACTATACGTCCAGATACACTTCTCAGTAATTGTGAGATTCAAATGGAAAAAGAAAATGAAGAGCACTTTACGAACGGTCAGTTTTGCAAACAGTGGATTATTTTTATAGAATCACAGTACAAGGTATTTACTTTCAGGATTTTTTTCTGACGCTAGGGGACAGCAGGTGGTGAGAGGATGGGGAGGAAACAGCTACCAGTCTTTGCCAATATTAAGTCATTACTAACCAGTTGTTTTACAAAGTGTGTCGCTGAATTAGCTTCAGACAGCCTGCTTAAAATTTACATAATTAATAAAAATTATTTTTTTTTAGAAAGACCCTCTCTTTCTTCCTATTAATAATCCTCAAGAAATTTAGAACAAGTGTATTTTACAATGAAAGGTCAGAAGCTCAGCTGGAGAGAGGAATGTTTACAACACCTTCAGGTGTTTCTTGGCCTTCCAATAGCAAAGCTGGGAGAGGGCCGAGCGAAGAGCCCTGACCCTGCCTCTCTCCTCCTCTCCTTCCAGCGGGTGGTTGACTTCCCCGGTTTGCCTCGAGGGATCCAGCTGAATCACTGTTGCCATAAAAACAGGGCTGAGCTGGCGGTGTCGAAAGCCACCGGAACTGGAAGAAACTAGTCAGGAAAAACCTGACTATCAGCTGATAGATTGCTGCCTGATAACTCCTGGACACTGGTACCACTCTGTCCAGACTAGTGCAGCTCTTCGGGAGCTGTCCAGAACACCGAGCTGTTTCAGCCTAACTCGGCTGAGCTCTCTTTCCCCCATGCTTGAGGGCGCCGAGCTGTACTTCAACGTGGACCATGGCTACCTGGAGGGCCTGGTGCGAGGCTGCAAAGCCAGCCTCCTGACCCAGCGGGACTACATCAACCTGGTCCAGTGTGAGACCCTGGAAGGTAAGGGCCACTTTTCTCACAGCCTAAAAAGAAAAAAAAGGAAATGCTGTCGTCCGCTGGAAGCGTAGAGACAGGGCTGTGCTCTCACAGCCCGAGAGACAGAGCACGTTATTTCCAGCGAACACACTTCTAGGGGGTCTGTGAACTTGGACAAGGAAAAAAAAATCTGTTTTCAGTATTCTCTTAAGTGAAATTTAGCATTTCCTTTCCTTTCGAATGTAGGCAACATTCGAAATCCCGGTGGTCAGTACTTTATCACTAGTAGAAATTCATTATTTCATATCTCTCTACAGTTATTGCAGACACCTTGAGTTATCACTGTAGTTTTCACTATTTCACAATTATACCAGATATTGCACTCCTCCTTTAATTTTGATACTTAATGTCTTAATAAGTACAGAATTCAACATTTAAAAATATTTCGGTAACTCTATTTTAATGTATTTGTTTATCCCATGTATTTTCATTCTCCATGCTTAGAAATATTATTTAGAGAAGGACTTCACCAAACTTCCTTAGAGATCTATAGCCAAAAAAAAAGCTAAGAACATTGGTCTGAGAATTCTAGCTCCAGTTTCTTGGTAACTGTTGATATGAGAGTTTGAGGTCTGTCTTTAACTGAAGCCTAAGAAAAATATCAAGAAATTGGTGTGGGGTGAGGCCACCCCTAAATACAAAAGTCCTAAGTTTGTCCTCTGCCAGGGTTAAGCTCTGACCATCTGAGCCTGAGATTCCTCATTTGTAAAGTGCTTGGGTAATGCCTGCTTTGCTAAGTTGTTTGGAGAAAATAATGCGGTAATACATGAAAGAATGTGTTAACCATCAAGCACTCTGCAGACAGAAATTATCTTTTTAAAAAAAAACCATTTTATTGAGGTATGATCAACATATAGAAAGCTGCACCTATTTAATGTATACAACTTGATGACTTGAGAGATAAGTATATATCTGTGAAATTACCACCACAATCTCTGCCATAAATCTATCCATCACCTCCAAAAGTTTCCATCTCCCTCTGTTATTGTGTGTAAATTGTATGCTGTATACAGACAGTACTTATTCATCTAGTGTAAGGGAAACTTTGTACCCTTTATCTAATACCTGCCCAACCCTGCTCTCTGGAAATTATCTAAGGTACGATATTTTTAAAACCTTACCAAAGATTTCACATCCATAGTACAGTATTTTTGTTATTAAAAACAGCTACACTCACTTATTTTGAAACATGCTTATAAAATCAATATTTGATTTATAACTTCTAGATTATTCTGGAAAGAGCTTTAAAACTTCTAGATTATTCTAGAAAGAGCAAAAAAGCAATATGGATCAAGAATGCCAGAAAAAGTATTAAGCAGCTAGAAACAAAACAAAAAACCTGAAGGTGACTTTGCAGGCTTCTCCAGTAGGGCGGAGAGCCCTATGGTCACTTGTTTACAATTCTGACCAGTCAAAGCCAGAGTTAAGGCAGAACTGCCCAAATTAAGAGAAACCCTCTCCTGTCATTAGCAATGGGAACAGCTAGAAAAGTCTTTCAGTTTATAACTAATTCATTTGGCTACTACTAATAATATAATCCCAAATCCTAAACCAGCATATTAAATTGGGAGTTTGGTGACTGAAGAATATTAATCATGTATAGAAAATCTACATAAACTGAGGTCGAAAATATGAATGAACACAGAGCAGAGTAAGTGCTTCTCAGAGAAGCCATTTGAATGAAGTCTGTTTAAGGTTTTCAGTTAGTCTTTTAAATGGACTGAGGAACACAAATTTAAACACAAAAAATACATAAACTGTCATTGTGATACAAAACAAGGCTTAACCAGCTCACTAAAGAATTCTGAGAGAAACAAAGGGTAACCGTTCTAAAGCTGTAAGAATTCTAGAAAATGGAAAGATGAAAATGAGAATTTTGAAAGTTGCTCCCAAATATTTTCTGCCAATGGCCCTTTTGATGAAATGATCCAGGTGAGGGAGGAAAGAGGAGATGAAAGGAATGAAGTAAACAGATTTATCATCTAAATAGGGATATAGCTGAATTAGGTACCCTCAGCTTCAGTCTGGTAGAGAAGGAAAGATTTCAGATGCTTTTGAAGACCTGAAGAATGAACCTTCTTAGAAAAACACACGCAGATGCATACATACAGAATTTTCCATATAATATCAGGGGTCGTGGGATACCCATAGCCATTTCTGTGCCCCTGTTGACACCCCACCACATACATCATTGCTTATCATCATTGTATCACATAGTTTCTATCTTTCCTCCTAATAACTTTTTTTTCAACCATTCATTTCACAACTATGTTTGAATCTATGTGCCAGTCTACTGTTTGAAGGCTCCCAGGAATTCAAGTATGAGGCATCAAACTATGGGTTAGGTGGCTGCTGAAATAAATAAGGATTTCATGTCCTCAGTTAAAAATTTGGACACTGAGGCTTAGAATCGCTGTGACTAATCTAGCACTCTTGTCAGGGATGGAGTATAGACATAGCTGCATCTCTTTTTCCACTGAAATGTCTGTGCCTCCTAAGCATGAAAGATAAACAATTAGATCCATTTTGCTGCTAATTTCATCCTGATATAGAAAACATTAAGATTTACCATGCCTGATTATTTCATAGGATGCTGGGAAATAAATAGCTTGTGAAAAGCAATGCAGCTGTTTTCATTTGTGAATTCACCAAGAGAAGCCCAGCCACCTTCTGAGCTTGGATTAAGAGTTGAAGAGAAGAAATCAAGGACGTATGTTTGGGATAGAAGTCAAAGACTTTGGGATTTCTGTTTAATTTGCACAAAATATGCACTGTACCAATTATGCATAAAGAGGGGTAGGTAAAACTGTCATTATAGTACTGTAATATGTACATAAATACAGTATATAATATAGTATATGTAATACAGTACATAAAGTACTGAACAGGCACTTTCTGTAAAAGAAAAACAATTTGGTGAAGATTAGATTTGCTTTTAGTTTTTAAAGTCCTCTAGATTTTAAAAGTGTCCTGATATCAGTAAGTTGTTTAAGAACCACTTACAAGGAACACATGAAGTTTCAGATAAATTTGAAATAGAGAAAAATGAAGATTGCCCGGTAAAGCTTTGGAAAGTCCTAGTATTCATAATTGTGCCAAACTGTGTGCATAAATATGCCAGTGTGATCAGAAATCCTCATCTATTCCTTACCCTGACTAACAGTGACCTGAGTCAGTCGCTAGGACCCTCTGTGACTCAACTTTTCCCTAAGACAAAAGAGGGAACCTACTTCATGTGACCTGTGTCACTGGTACTGCTGGAAGGTTTATCCACAAAGGAACTTTTAAGTCTTTAGAAGGGACTTTGCAACAAAATAATGTTAAAGGGGCATAAAATGTTCTTTTCAAGAATTAACATTTTTTTATTAAGGCTTTATTTTTTTAGAGCATCTTTTAGGTTCAGAGCAAAGTTGAGGGGAAGGTACAGAGATTTCCTATATACCCTTTGCCCCCACACATGCACAGCCTCTTCCATCATCAACATTCCCCACCACAGTGGCACATCTGTTACAACTGATGGATGTACATTAACATATCACAATCACCCAGAGTCCACACTTACATTTGGGTTCACTCTTGGTGTTGCACATTCTGTGGGTTTGGACAAATGGATATTTTTTCAGTGCCCTAAAATTTCTCTGTGCTCTTGCCTCTTCATCCCTCTGCACACCTTGACTCTTGGCAACTGTTCATCTTTTTACTGTCTGCATAGTTTTGCCTTTTTCAGAACATCAGGTAGTTGGAATCACATAGCATGCAGCCTCTTCACACTGACTTCTTTCACTTAGTAAGGCTCCTGCATGTCTTTTCATAGCTGCTATTTTCAGGATTTTTAAAAAATTACAATTAAAACTGTTGCAAATATTCTTCCCTATTCAAAAAAGACAAGGTGGTAAAATTAATACTGAAGAGCTCCAAAATTTAGTAATAAACGATCCTTTTAAAATATATGATGGAAGTATCCCCTGGCTCTCAGGGTGTGGTGAGAGTACCCTGGATTGAGACTTTACTTTGTCCTCTGCCATACTTTCTTGGCAGGGAGTGAGGGTTGCTTATTATATTGCACTAGCAAATATGTCCCTTTCAAGGGACTTCTTCACCTGGGAACCCAACTGTGTCTTCAAGTAGGAATTAATTCAACAACCATGTATTAAGCATTTTTTTCTAGCTAGAACCAAGGAAGTAAAGCTCAATAAGATACAATCCCTGTCCTAAAAAGGCTCCCACTCTAGAGAATGAAATTTTGGGAAAATAAGAACGCTTAATGGGGGCAATTGGTCAGTACCTCTCAGAATTCCAAATGCCTGAACACTTGGCCTAGGACTTCATGTAGCACTGTTTGGAACAGCAAAGATGGAAACCAGTCAAATGTCCATCTTCAGGGAACTGATTAAATAAATTATGGAACATCCACATAATGGGATATTCTGCAGCTATTAAAAAGGAAGGAAAATAGCATAGGATGCACCCTTAAGAGAACTGACATGGAAAGATGGCCCAGATACAGTAAGTGAGGAAAGCAAGGGGAAGAAGTATGTGTGACATGGTACTCTTGAAGGAAAAAGATAGATACATTTTAAAGTATATTTTCTATATGATTGTTTAGATACAAAGAAGCTGTGAAAGGATACAAAAAAAACCCTAAAAATTGTAGTTACCTGGGGCTCAGAATGAATGGGCAGGGGTGGTGTTGAAAAGTATAGGAGTCCTTCACTTTTACCTATATTTACCTATTTTTAATAAAAAAATACATATAGGAGGAAGACTTATTTCCAAGGGCTTTCTCGACTCCCCTGAACATTATTTGTACTTCTAATTGTAGCACTCATTTTTTCTGCCTTGTATTAAAAATGCATATCCAGTGCTATCATTTCTCCTGTTCAAAAATGCTTCAATGGTTTTCGTCAGGGAGGATAAACATCTCTTAGCTTAAAGGGCTCAAGCAGTCCAGCCAATCTCCACCT